TTTTTTTTTTTTTTTTTTTTTTTTTTTACATTTAATTATTCCCCATAAATATTATTTCCTACACTCTCAGAGGAAAAGTTGTTGATTGCAGGGAATTAACTTAGTTTATACTACGTTTTTCCCTTTATAAAATTTAGTATTTATTTCCGGGCTCGCTGCTGTACTTCCGGTCGTGTTGGCGGCGCTGTGTCGCCTCTCACACACAGACCTGTGGGGGATATGCAGTAACGCTAGCGGCAGCTGAGTTGGCAGCATCGGCATGTTTGAGTAGAAACGATCAATACATTTGTCTTACATGAGCAGTTCGGTGTTAATGATGGGGCAGTGCGGCGTGACGTCCTCGAAGACCGTCCTGGTCTTTCTGAACCTGATATTCTGGGTAAGTTTTATTATGGGGAGCAGTCAGTTTTTAAACATGCGTCACTCACGAACTGTTCGCCGTCAGCTGCTAAACTACTAGCTCCAGCACGTCGACGTTTGTTATCAGTGCAGATTCGTAGCAGGATAGAGTTCAGTTATGAGATGTGGCTSATTTTGCTGTGTAATTCTCCTCTCATGGCTTCTTGCTGTAGTAGACATGTTGTAAAACGACCCTGAACTTTCACATTTCGCTTCTCTTCTTGTAAAGCAGACCAGAGATGATGCAGCAAAACATGTTGGTCAGCTGAGCCTGGTTAGTTAAAAAAAAAAAAAAAAAAAGTTGAAGCATGTAAAGTACATTTATGCTCTGTGTTATAATGCAGTAGCATCTTTAAACGCGTTAAATAAAAGCTTTAAATATGTCAGGTGTTTACAGACCTACAGGAAGATGATGTTATGGTGCCTCGTTCATGAATGAGTAGATTTATTGGTTTATTTTTTCTGAACAACTAATAAGTCTCCACTTACTGAGGTGTGACTTATGTGTGTCATTTGTATTTTGTTCATTACGTAACTGAACACTGACATTTACATAAAAACAAATAAAGAGGTAAACTGTTGTTGACCTTTTTTTATTTACTTTTTGTAACCGACAGGCAGCTGCTGGCATCCTTTGTTATGTTGGGGCCTATGTCTTCATTACTTATGATGATTATGACCATTTCTTCGAAGACGTGTACACTCTCATCCCAGCTGTGATCATCATAGCAGCCGGAGCTCTCCTGTTCATCATCGGGCTCATTGGATGCTGTGCCACAGTGAGGGAGAGCTACTGTGGACTTACAACAGTCAGTCTATCATCTATTATCAACATAACCGTGCATCAGCTTGTCAAACCTTCGTTGTTAGATAATTGATTAGACCGTGTTTTTATTGAACACAAAAATGCAGTGAATGTGTGAATAATGGATTTAAAGGAGGTAACTTGAAGAGCTCAGAGTGTCTGATGTCCATTTATCTTGAATCTTGAATTTCGATCTGCAGTTTGTCGTCGTTCTCCTGCTGGTTTTCATGACAGAAGTGGCAGTGGTGGTTCTTGGGTATGTTTACAGAGCAAAGGTAAGAAAGCGATACGTAAGTCATATATTTAGTTTAACTTGTGACAGAAGTGCACACACAAACATTGCTATTTTCAGTGCTGTCGTGTCTGTTGACCATTGTAGAAAATTGTTGTGTTTTTATTTTTTATTTTTCTAAAAACTTCAGCCAGGCTGAAGATTTTTGTTGGTTCTGACTGTGTGCATGGAAATCCAGATTTTGGAATATGTCAAATGATATGTGACAACTATTATTATTTTTTTATTGTAGTTGAGAAAAACATCCAGTCTATGTGAATATTTATCCTGATGATCATCCTTTGATAACCTTGTCCTACCTGTCAGCACATTTGCTGTCATTATCCAAACAGATGACATGGCACTGTTTTTTCACCCTCATCAGGTTGAAGACGAAGTTAACAGTTCTATCATAAAAGTTTATGATGAGTACAACGGCACCAACAGCAATGCCCAGAGCCGTGCCATCGACTACGTGCAGAGACAGGTGAAAATTCTCATAACGCCCAAGTTGACCTTTTACCCGTGTACGTGAATCGTTTGGCACCAGTCTTTACATTTGATATTGCTTTTGCTTTCAGCTTCAGTGCTGTGGAATCCACAACTTTTCAGACTGGAGGCATACCCGCTGGTACGAAGAATCGAAAAACAACAGCGCTCCCATCAGYTGTTGCAAAGCTAACATGGCAGGCTGCACCGGGTCCCTCGCTCATCCTGAAGATCTCTATCAGGAAGTAAAAAAAATATAAATAAAAAAATGTTATTTTGTTTTTAAATAAAATGACTTTTCAAAGTTTAATATGTTCAAAAATAATTTGTGTGCAGGGTTGTGAAGCTCTGGTTGTGAAGAAATTAAAGGAGATCATGATGTCTGTCATCTGGACTGCCTTGACATTTGCTACCATCCAGGTATTTCACTCATTCACTACTGGAATTTTTATACTTATATTTCTATTTTTTTTTAAATACATGTTGGTAAATATTTAGTGGGGAGATCAAAAGAGGCCAAAAAGTGCCTAAAATATCATTTTGAAAGCTTTAGTTATTGTTGTTCATTTAACTACGTGCATTAAAACAGGATCTCCTATTTGCACAGAGGCACTAAAATTTAGCTGTTTTCATCACAGGAAGTGTTCAGTAGTTGTAGTTTTTTTCAGATTGAGGTTCATTACATATTTAACAATATTTAAACAGAGCTTAAAAGGACTTTACTACATTTAAAATGTTTTTTTAACTTCTACAAACCCAATAAACTGATTAATACAGTAAGTGGCAGCTGCACAAATTCGGTCAGAAGCCATTTACATCTTAAAAATTAGCTCCTGTATCCATTTAATTCTGAAGCAAAGTCTGAGTAGATATTCTTTTTTCAATGGAAAAAAATAGTTTTTAAAAATTTTCAGAAATAGTAGTGAGGGTAAATAAAACTTGGGTTAGTTAAATTGATTGCAGTTTGTTAATTTAACCACTAGATGTCACTACATCCAACATAGTGAAGAAAGGGTTGAGCAAAGATCAAGACGCCTTGTACGTAGTTACTGAGGAGGTTCGACTGAAACGGAAACATAACCTCGCGTAATTTTTGTGTTCCCTCAGGTTCTGGGGATGCTTTGTGCCTGTGTGGTGCTGTGCCGCAGAAGCAGAGATCCTCCCTACGAGCTTCTCATTACAGGAGGCACTCCTGCATAAAAATGGCATGCACTTTTCTCCACACAACTTACTTTCAAAACTTGTGCAATTGGTGAGAGCATGAATAAACCTGTTACCATACACGCTAACAGTAAACATACTTGTATTTCCCCTTTTCAGTAAGCTTTACGCCAAGTTTATTGAAGGGCACTGATACAACTTTTTGCTCTGAGATTATAAAAACTTATTTTTATCAAACTCAGACTTTTGTTGAATGTGAACAGAGTCATTTTATTTTAGTAGCATCCAGACTGTTATATTTATTATTTTCAAATCTGTCAAGTACTTGAATGAAAGAGTGAGATTATTATCTTGTAATCAAACCCTAGTTCTCCTGTTCAGTAGTAGCTGAAACCTCACTTTTCACCTGCATAAGATGGGCAGCACCAAGTCAACTGCACAGCATGTTTTAGTCTGTAAATCATGTAACCTGGCTATATATTGTCCAATTCCTATTTTAAGAAGGAAATCTTGTGTTGATTTGAAGTGTTCTTTCATTTTTATCTGGGGAGATTTTGTTTTCAGTTCACAGCTGCTTGCTTTTGACCTTCAAAAGCTACTGATTTTAATTTTAGAAAAGCGTTGACATGTAGCAGATATAGGACTTGAGAATATAAATAGAATATAAGTGAAAGTTTGAAATAAAATACCTCTGTTTTATGGTTTGTTTGTTTTTTTCTTTTTATTACAAAAACTGTGTCTGAATGTTTCTACTGTCCTGAAACCAGATATAAGGAACCCATCTGTGCATGTGTGACTTGTAATTCACAGCAGAACCAAGTGGCCCTCGAGTCTAAGCCTCTGTGAGCGTTCGTGTTGCTTAAAATAAACTGTGGTTACAGAATAGCAACTGACCTAACAGATAACTGCTGAGTGACCAGGAACCAAAGAGACTGCTCGGCCGCAGGACCGCAGAACAAGTCTCAACGCACTTCATATCTTCAAAATAGCTTTTGCTAGAATAAACSAGCCATAAGAATGAAAAGAAATGCACCAGAAACCACTCTTCACAATACAGAAAAAAACATTTCATAAGCACTTACTCTTTTTAGCTTTCATTGTACGAGCAGCTACACACGTTTTGCTCATAAAACCACATTTATTTTCACAAAGCATCACATGGACAAAACAGTTTCAGTGTGTAAATAAACCTTTAGTGCCATAATCTTGCATGAGAAACACACACAAAAACATGTTAATAGTCTGATAAGCACTTGACATCAGCAATAGGGACAGAAACAATGAAAAATACAGCACCACAAGTTACTGATTGGATCTTAAAGCCAATACATACAGATTCATATATGTGATAAAACTTAGTTTGTTGGTAGAAACAATATTTTATTTATTTTATTTACCGTTATTTAACCAGTCAAGTCCCATTGAGATCTCAGATCTCTTTTTCAAGGGAGGCCTGGGCCTGAAAAGGCAACCTACTTGTACATGTTTTTTTGGGGGGGAAACCGGAGTACCCCGAGAAAACCCACACAAGCACGAGGAGAACATGCAAACTCCACACAGCAAGACCCCAGGTCTGAACCGGGGATCGAACCCAGGGCCTTCTTGCTGTGAGGCGTTGGTGCTAACCACTGAGCCGTCGTGCTGCCAATATGTTGATTATCACCTGTTTAAGTATTGCACTGAGCGTAATGTGAATATGTTGTCTGTGTTTATTATGGCTGCCACCAGGGGCTGCAGTAATATCAGCCATTCGTTTTCTTTCCCTGCTTTTTTCCTTTACCGGTCRCAGGCACCATGTCACTGTGAGAGAGGCGGTTCCATGACGGGGACACCGAGATAAACAAATTATGCTCCCACCAAGGGTTAGGGTTATAAAGAACCGTTCAAAAGATTCGGATCGTTAGTGAACGTCACATCAATACCTAGGGTCTATTTAGGGTTACCAATTAATCTAACATGCATGTTTTTGGTCTGTGGGTGTACCTGGAGAAAACCCATGCGTGCGCACGGGGAGAACATGCAGACTCCACCCATGAATGTCCCCGGCCTGGAGCAGATCCGACGGCTCTAGCCACGGCTGTAGTAATGCACGTGACGAGTGTTCGGATAAACTGAAATTACATGACTTACAAAATATACATGTGGAAATGGTAGTTTCTCAGTCCTTCCGGTGGCTGACAGGCAAGACTTATTCTTGACTAAGAAAAGAACCGGGCACTAATCCAGAAAAGCCATTTCTATTCACCATCCACCAGCCATCGTCTCCTTTATCTAAAACTATCACAACATCACCAACACATAACGAGAGCTCATCTTGTCCCTAAACAAAGACACAGATGATGGCATTAAAAACATACAAACATTAAAGATCTTAAGATGTTTGTGAATCAGAACTGAAGGGCAGACCTGTGCGTTGTAGTCATATATAGCTTTATACTCCTCGTTGATCGACTGGGCCGTCTGAGATCCAGAAATGGCAGCATAAACGCTGTCAGATGTTCCTGCTGGGAAGAAATAATCAGTTACTACAAACATTTGAAGGCTTTAATGTTGATGTGTCTGCCCTGCCTCCACTGTCTTTTCCTCAATAGCTTTATTTAGATTTTTTAAATACCATTTTAAGAAAAATAATTGCACACATCTGCTGACAGATTTATTTGGCCACGCAAACCTGCCCCAGCATAAACAACTCATTCCCGACGAGCTACCATCACATTACGACAGTCTCCATAATCTCCAGAACTTCTGCCACAAATTTGCATATCAGCGTTTCCGCAGAACAGCCAGGTCTGGGTAATTTTACTGTCTGGTGTAAATGAGGACCATCTGAAGTGGCTGCCTTTGCTACCTGTTTTTAGTAGATTTTACGTGCCATCATTAAAAAACTGCAATGCAACTTGAATAATATCAATATACCAGAGGGCTGTAAATTTGTCTCATTGATGTTCAGTTTAGGGCCAAAGGTTCCAGTCAAAAGATGCGAAAACCTAAAAGACAAAAGTTCTCAGTAAAACACACACAGACACACAAAAAAGGTTAAAGTAAATAAATAAATTTAGTTAATCCTTCCACCTTTTCTTGACCCCTTCAACAAATCCTGCACTGCCATTCCTGTCTGTTGAAGCATTATTGTCGTAGTAATCCTCGTATTCGATTGGAGCTGTGAGAAAAAAAAAGTCAAATAAACAGTAGCTGCCTTCATAGTGATAATATTAACATCATGCCTCATCATAGAACATATTCAAATCCCAGCAGGGAAGTGGCAGGCGATGCCTACCTGGGGGGGTTGGGTTGGTCTTCCGCATCTCCACAAAATGGTTGTTGTCCGCGATGATGTCACAGCTTTCAAGTGTTTTTCTTATATTTTCATAATACTGAAAGAAAAGTTTGTTCGGAGGTAAAAACCACATATACATAATTCGCTGCCGTGACTTTCAAACCCATTTGCCAACAACCAGCGACACCCACCTCGTCGTCTGTCACGCACTGCATGGATAAATGGTTGCAGTGCACCCACAGAGCGTTCCTTAAAACACTGATCCTGTCTTCTTCTTGCTGCTGAAACATCTGCAGAACAACAGTTACAGACAGTGAAAAGAAAGGCCTGCTACATTTTATACCAGAGTTTCAAACTGAGACCTGTTTTCGCTGAGAAAATATGGGGTTAAATGTGGTGAAATGCTAGATCTTATGCAATCCTGCAATCCTGTGTGGTCTTGCAAGTTTTGCAATTTTTAGGCAAAGATGTTATGCAGTGTGTAGTCTACATAGAAGTTGCTGTAGTGGCTGTGTTATACTGTAGTTATAGTTTTCTACGATCAGGCGGCGGCCATCTTGAATTGAGTCCAAAATCAGTTGAAGACATCAACGTAATGAGAATGTTAAGTGTCATTAAAGTCTGTTGAGTGGTTCATGAGATATTTTGCTAACAAACAAACAAAGATACAAAGATAGGGATCAGTCTTAGCGACTGAAACACCAAAATTTAACTTGATATTCTTAAAACGGAAAAAATTTTAGCAATTTATTTATTTATTTTTGCTAACATTGCTTAGCTGTGGCGGCCATTTTCAATTAAGTTGACTCCAAATGTTAATCAGCTGTAGACGTACATCCAAAGAGACATTGTGAATGTTTAAAATGCATTTAGCACAAACGGGCAGAAACTTGATTACCTTCTTGTTTTCGATAGCAGGCGATAAAAACGTATGTGTTGCAGATGTCAGCCTTTGCACAACACTAGTGCTCAACACAAACATTTAAAGTTATGTGATTGTATTGAGCATCACAAGAGTTTTTTTTTTTTCTTATTTGTGTGTGTGTAAATGTGAGACAGTTCTGGGTTCCTTTGAGACCTCCTGAATGAGTCGTTGATGCGCTCCTGGACTAACTTTGGTCTGCTGGCCACTCCTGGGAAGATTGATCGATGTTTCCTCCATTTAAAGTCAATAGATGTATCTAAATAATTTACTGATTCTATATATGATTCTAGAAGTAATCAGGTCTGACTTGAACTCAGCTTTAATGTGCAAATTTCCCCACTGTGGGATCAATAAAGTTTTATCTTATCTCTTAAAAACAACAAGAGTCAATTCATGGTTTGATAACAAGGTGGGGGACAGGGGTGGGGTAGCTTTTTCACAAAGGTTTGGTGCTTTTGTGTTTACGAGGGTTATCTTTGCCTGACAATAAAAACTGTTCGCTGATCTGAAGCATTTAGATGTGATAAAAAAATAAAGAACAATATTTTTCATTGTGTATTCATGGTAATGCCTCTCTCGTGTGTTTGTCCTGTTCTAAGGTATCCCTGACAGTTGACCTTATGTTGCTAAAGGTCTGCTATGTCTCTGGTGATGCGATCGCACTGAGGAAGAATCTGCTGCATGGAAGTATATCTGTTTTAATTATTTAATTACGAGTCTCTGTTTAGTCTGCTTAGGGGAAGTTTCATTTTGACCCGGCTGATAAACAGACAGTTTTTGCTGCTCCGTTTCTAACTTTGTACAATTTTTTTAAAAGAAGTACATCAAGAACAAACACTTCCTGCTTCATACCACACATGTTTCCATGTGCGTTGTTTCCCATTCCAGACGAATCTTGTCGAGTTGTTCGACGTTCGACCTGTACTGCTTCTCTAAACACAAAAAGACAAAAGGTTTGAAATATGGTATGAATTTTGAAGTATGTCAAAAAATAAAATAAAAATAATAAAAAAGTGGCTTTTGTATTCTGTGACTTAAATTATTTTTAGACTAACCAAAATAGAGAAGTTAATATGACCAATATTCTGAAAAAAATGAACAAAAAAAATATTTCGGGTAAACCACAGAAGCTTCCTTGAAGAAACACGTTTTCATACCAACTTAAAGAATTGCGCTTCTGTGGTGGCACGATTTACCAAGAATGCAGAAACACGTTGGAATAAATGCACAGAAAGTCTGTGTGTATGGTCGTCAAATGATTTAATTTGAGCAACAACAGAGCAGAAGTCAATCAGAGAAGCCTGTCAAGTTGTGGCTGGCTCGTCAGCGCAGAGCAGCCGATAATATAACATCCTGCGACATGCTTACAACCAATCACAGTTCGTCAACTGTGAACCATCTAACCAATGACAGGGCTGTGAGCCTGGAAACACCTTATCAAAATAAAAGAGGTCATGCATTGCTGGAGTCTTATATAAGTCTGGGCCGATAGAGTAAAACAGCCCAAAACTAGTTACCATGAGATATGATTACTGGACAGTGTCAAGGTAGAACAGATATACATAATTATTCCATAACAGCTTCTTTAATATGTTATTCATCCTTACCGGCTTCAACTGCAGCTTCTCTGCACTGTTTAGTTTTGTTGTTCATCTGAAAAAAAGAAAGAAAATACACCTGAGAAAATGAAACAATACTGAGGTGTTTTTTTTATTTATTTAAAGCAAACTTTGGCATAAATCTTGAACAGCCAATATATTTCACAGCAAAATCAGTATTACAAACCTAAAGCGTTTTATTTTGGTTGGGTGGAAGTGAAACTTCAAAAGTTGGTGTTGCTGCGAAAGTCATCCTGGCTCAGTGATATAAAGAATGCGTAAAGTATCAGTTCACATTTACGAACACTTAATATCTCACCTGTCATAGATGGCTCTTTGAACAGTTTTAGTTTGGAGAAAAATAACTGAATTCTGACTTTACTGTCGAGCTAACGGTTAGTTCGAGCGTAGCCAAAACCAAACTGGATAGACATCATWAAACAATTCAAATTGTAAACACTTTTTTAAATAAACATCATTGCTCTTAGCTTGCATTAATGTTTTTTTCCAAGCATAGAAATGAGCAGCATCAGTTAGCTGTAGCACTTTCAGAGGYAGTCTGAGGCACTTACCAGTAATTATTGTAACATTTCCACCAAAATGACCACAAAAWGCAAAACGTAAACTTTAATTTGCGTGAACCACTATGAATTTTTGGAAACAACAGTTGTTTTAGGATGGCAGMAAACGKAGTCAATTCAAAATATCTTCAACAGGTAAGACATTAATTGTTCATAACCTTTCCACAGAACCTGACCTATCTTTATAATGCAATCKATTTTTCTCCAGAGCTGAGTGTTGCTCTGCTTGGCCTTGTAATAAATGCATCTTTTATAGATGAAATAGTATGATGGTCATAACTTTTAGAATGAAATAAAAAATAAGCCAGGAATTCAGTAGTTAAATGCATGTGTTCTTTTCTATTGGTAAAAACACCTGTTTCACATTTCCATTGCCTGAAGCATGTCATGAATGAAGGGTTATTACATAGACAAATTTTAAACAGATTTATTTCCTGAATAGCTCTGCATCTAAAACACATAATCTACCACACACAAATGTCCTTACTTTTTGTGATAAGTTTGGTTTAATAAGAAAATGTAACGTTGGTGTCGGGTTGTTGGTAAATAAATTCTGACTCATTTCACTTTGTGTGTACCGAAAAGTGTAAGGTTTGATTTGATTTTACTTGAATTTAAAAAGTAGTATTCCCAACTGACTCAATAAAACAGTCAAAACACATGTGATGATGTTTCTTGCAGTGTTGTGAAGTACCACAAAGTGATACTTGAGTAAAAGTACAAGTCGCTTACCAAAACATTACTTTAGTAAAAGTTAAAGTCTCCTTTAGGAATATTACTTGAGTAAAAGTTTTAAAGTATCTGATATTTTTTGTTCTTAAGTACTAAAAGTAAAAGTATTGGTTTAAAATGAGCGGTTAGATTTTGCGTAATAACATGACCTCCCCCCAAAAATAAAGAAAATTAATTTATGCTAAATTTAGGATGCACTAGTCTAGCTGTTTCACTTTATATTCATATATCAAAGCTGCCCAAACSTTTTCCCCAGAATGAAAATCTATCTGAGGGCTGCAGCCAAATGCAATAATATAATTCATGAAATACAAATACTTCTTAAGTACACTMCTTTTATTTTAATGATTATGTCCTGCTGGAGTGTGACATGATTTGTTTGTGTACAAACTAATACGGTATCAGAATTTTATATATTTATACTTCTCATTCAAACACAATAAAATTCACTCTATCTAGGAGGCACAATTTATATGGATGGTATTTTTTTTACAATAAGCAGCTGGAATGAAAACAAGCAAAAATGAAATAAAAGTAACGACTTTCTACTTCTTGCCTTTTTTAAAACTGTAAGGAGTAGAAAGTACAGATAATTGTGTGAAAACGTAAGAAGTAGAAATAAAATGTAGGYGGAAAAATAATTACTCAAGTAAAGTAGATGTCCAAAAAAACCTACTTAAGTACAGTAAAGAAGTATTTGTACTTAGTTACTTTACAACTCTGTTTTCTTGTTGCTGCTTGACTCAGAATATCAGGAGGTTTTTTTTTTTTGGTGTGAAGTAATATTTGACTTAAACTATTTTTAAGCTTTCAGTTTCATGAATGATGAACTCTACACTTGCTAGGTTTTTGAAAGAAAAAGAAACAAAAACCATGGGGCACCAAGTGTAAAATGAAATGTTAAAAAATTTCACTAACTTATTTTTCATTGTTTAGCTCACTTTTGAGTGTTAAAAGTTTTCTAATATTTTATTGTTATTTAGCTCTCTGTTCTTACATTTAGCTTTTTTTTTTACTAAATGTTTAATTTAAATGTTAAAAAATATATTTAAATATTAAATCCTAAATMCAAATGTTGAAATCTAAATGTAAATTAAGTGAAGCTTTAGCTGCATTGGTGCATGAGTCAAGCACTAACAGCAAAGGTTGCATTCCATTACAGAATACCTAAATGTGAACTTCAACATTTAAGGTTTAACTTTTACATTTAGACTTCAGCATTTAGATTTAGGATCCATCCATCCATTATCTATACCCGCTTCTTCCTTTCGGGGTTGCAGGGGTCACTGGTGCCCATATCCAGCAGTCACAGTGTGAGGGGCGGGGTACACCCTGGACAGGTTGAAAGTCCATCACAGGACCACACAGAGACAAACGAGACAAACAACCATTCACTCTCTTACTAAAACCTAGGGTCAATTTAGAGTTATCAATTAACCTAACAGTCATGTTTTTGGTCTGTGGGAGGAAGCCGGAGTATCTGGAGAGAACCCACGCATGCACAGAGAGAACATGCAAACTCTACCCAGAAAGGTCCCCGGGCCGGGATTTGATCTGGCGACCTTGCTGAGCGGCATCAGCTCTACCAACTGAGCCACCGTGCCACAGATTTAGGATTTTATATTTAAATACATTTTTTAACATTTAAATTTAAGATTTTATGAAAAAAATAGCTACATGTAAGAACAGTGAGCTAAATAATAAAGTTTTAACACTCAAAAAGTGAGTTAAAAAATGAAAAATATGCTAGTGAATTATTTTTAACATTTCATTTTACACTTGGTGCTCCATAAAAAAAAACTCCATTAAGCTGTTTAACAATGAGTCACAGCACATTTACCTTCTCGATCTGTTTGGGAGTGGACGTGGGAGCATTGCTCATCCTTTCAGCCGTTTGCTCTGCCTCATCCGCCTCCTTGCAGCGTTGCTCATACGACTTTTTAGACTGCAGGAGTAGGAAACAGAAACCATGTGAAACTTTGACACCTCATTCTTCAAGAGTTCATGCAGATCTCATAGCAAGAAAAAAAAAAGCTATAAAAACAAGGGTGGAGAGATTCAGTTCTGACCAAGATGTGTACCAGGGAAAATAGAAACCACACAAATCCTTCCTCTCAGCAGCACAAAAAGAAAAAAAGAACCATCTTCAGTTGTTTGGTTTCACTTTTAAGCCACTGTTTTAAAAAATGCCACTCTAAAGTGGTTAACATGGAAAGAGCTTGAGATCAATTAAAATGAGCTACCCTGACCTCAACTGTTTTCTTGTGAAGCAAGACTTTTGTCTTCTGCGCCTTCTCCATGATGGCTTCAAACTAGGTGGCAAAAACGTTTGTTAAAAAAGAGGAAACCATTTTGCATAGCTTTGTCATGTGTTTATTACTCAAACAATAGCAAAATAAAAGAAAGGTACCTTTTTTCTCTGTTCTTTCTGTCTCTCTCTGAACTCCTCCATTCTCCTCACTTCCTCCCTCAGGAGCCCAGACAACTGAATGTGCGAATTCCCTACATTTTCAATTTCTGGAAAAATAAACAGCAATAAAAAAAAAAAAGAAATGAGGCTTAATGCACAAAACTAGTTCAGTCATAAAAAGAAAAAAAAGAAGAACATGCAAAACAATGTGGTTAATAAGTCATGCTTACGTGTTTTCATTTCATCAAACGATGCTTTCAGTGTGCTGAAAGAGGAAAATTAAATTWAATTTATTTTAAAAAGTTTATATCCTGCCATCTATGGTTCACATAAAGCATGACTAAGATTTTAGGCACAAATAAACCCACGTACCAAATCTCCACCAAACCCCCAGCTTTTCGAGCAATTGAAACCAGTTCCTTCCCATATTTCTCCTCTGCTGATGCCCTACAAAAAACAATCAACAGAAAAATACAGAACTAGTTTACTTCAGCTCAGTTTACAAATTCAGGTGCAACTGGCCGTAAGTTAAATCAACCCACCTCATTTTCAACAGCTCCTCCATGTCTTTACAGGTCCGCCGACCCTCGTTGAGTCTCTGAATAATCGTTTCGTAACCCTCACTGCTGATGAAGTCTTTTCCCTGAAGAAGAATGTGCCAGACACTTTTCTTTACAACACAAATACACTCTACACTGATATTCAAAAGTCAGAAAAACCTTTAATACAGTGGTTTGTATTCATACCCCTTGAACTTTTCCATATTTTGTCACATTACAACCACAAACATAAATATATTTCACTGGAATTTAATGTGAAAGACCAACACAAAGTGGTATACAATTGTGAAGTGGAAGCAAAATTTTACATGAATCAAAACATTTTTTACAAATAAAAAACTGAAAAGTGCGACGTGCAAAAGTATTCAGCCCCCTTTTCCCTGAGTGCAACCAATTGCATTCAGAAGTTGCCTGATGACTGCTAATGACTCAAAAGGGTCCACCTGTGTGTAATCTAATCTCAGTACAAATACAGCTGCTCCGTGACGGCCTCAGATGTTGGTTAAGAGAATATTGGGGAGCAAACAGCATCATGAAGTCCAAAGAACACACCAGACAGGTTAGGAATATGGTTTTGGAGAAGTTTAAAGCAGGCTTAGGTTATAAAAAGATTTCCCAAGCTTTGAACATCTCACGGAGCACTGTTCAATCCATCATCCGGAAATGGAAAGAGTATGGCACCACAGTAAAYCTGCCAAGACAAGGCCGTCCACCTAAACTTACAGGCCGAACAAGGAGATCACTGATCAGAGAGGCAGCCAAGAGGCCCATGGTGACTCTGGATGAAATGCAGAGAGCCACAGCTCAGGTGGGGGAAACTGTCCACAGGACAACAATTAGTCGTGCACTACACAAATGTGGTCTTTATGGAAGAGTGGCAAGGAGAAAGCCATTGTTAAAAGAAAACCGTAAGAAGTCCCGTTTGCAGTTTGCCAGAAGCCATGTTGAGGACACAGCAAACATGTGGAAGAAGGTGCTTTGGTCAGACGAGACCAAAATTGAACTTTTTGGCCACAATGCAAAACGCTATGTGTGGCGGAGAAAGAACACTGCACATCAYTCTGAAAACACCATCCCCACTGTCAAATATGGTGGTGGCAGCATCATGCTCTGGGGGTGCTTCTCTTCAGCAGGGACCGGGAAGTTGGTCAAAGTTGATGGGAAGATGGATGGAGCCAAATACAGGGCAATCTTGGAAGAAAACCTGTTGGAGTCAGCAAAAGATTTGAGACTGGGGCGGAGGTTCACCTTCCAGCAGGACAACGACCCTAAACATAAAGCCAAAGCTACAATGGAGTGGTTTAAAAAAAAGAATATTCATGTGTTAGAATGGCCCAGTCAAAGTCCAGACCTAAACCCAATTGAGAATTTGTGGCAAGATCTCAAAACTGCTGTTCACAAACGCTCTCCATCCAATCTGACTGAGCTTGAGCTGTTTTGCAAGGAGGAATGGGCAAGAAYTGCAGTCACTAGATGTGCAAAGCTGGCGGAGACATACCCTAAAAGACTTGCAGCTGTAATTGCAGCAAAAGGTGGCTCCACAAAGTATTGACTCAGGGGGGCTGAATAATTTTGCACATCGCACTTTTCAGTTTTTTATTTGTAAAAAATGTTTTGATTCATGTAAWATTTTGCTTCCACTTCACAATTGTATACCACTTTGTGTTGGTCTTTCACATTAAATTCCAGTGAAATATATTTATGTTTGTGGTTGTAATGTGACAAAATATGGAAAAGTTCAAGGGGTATGAATACTTTTGCAAACCACTGTAATGTAGTTAAAACAAAGACATCAAACAGCATTGTTTTTTCCACACTTGGGTAATGTATTAAGGTTTAAACCGTTAAAAGTGGCATGCTGAATGGAAACTATGTGGAAAAAGTGTTAAAGTCAGGGGCGGAAGGTTATCCGGTGTCGTCTGATTTTGAGGTGATGCAACAAAACTTAATGCTACAAACTGAGCTTCAGGAGTTTTATGCTGTTTTCTTATAAAAAGTGGTTTGAAAAAATGCTGCGTTGTGGGAATTCGGTATCACCTTCCAAATTGCCTAAGGCTTTTTTTTTTTTTACTTTACAGTCATCATTACTAAATGAGAACACAGTGACTGCCCAGCTCACTGAGACGTGTTCTTCTTTCTTAAATTAACTGACAGAACTCTTAGAAATAACACTTATGGCCCACCACTTTGCATGTCAAAGTTTTGAACAAAAGTCTCTCTTTTTTTTTAGTTCTCAGTGTTGGGGGATGACTCTTCGCTACGACCATATCAAGTTTTAGCCCAATATCTGGAAATCTGTAAAAGCAGAGGCCAAGTTTTTCAGTCACAACAGTGCAACTTGTGATGACTTTATGGAAGTTTAAAAAAAAACTAGAGTAACTAACACATTATGTGTTTAGCCAGGAAAGGTCAGGGCCACTGGCCTCCATTGGCCCCTCTTTGGTGATGCCACTGGTTAAAAGACTGAGACAAGTAACTTGGTGTGGAAAAAAACATACTGAACAAATGAAATAATATAAATAAAGATGTGGTTGTGTTCAACCTTAGCTAAGATATGATGTCAAAGTGTGTCAGGAAATCATCAAGTGCAGTAAAGTGCAGAGAGTGGACAAAGTTACAGGAAATGACAAATTCACAGGAATATAACAGAGACTTGGTTAACATCTATATGCAGTTAAGACTTGACACATGTRAAGTGTGAATTTCCAAATTGTTTTATAGACAAGCTGGCACTGATGAACTTAAAAAAGTTGTTTGTGAATGGATTAAAAATTATTACAATAAAAAAATTAATGACTTTTAAAAAGAGAAACAATTGAACTAAGAGAAATTAAAGTCTAAAGTCAAACGTAACTTAGTTCATCAAAAACAACCAGAACAAAACGATAAACCATGAAATAATTTTTAAAAACTCAGTGACAATAATAATCCAATAAGACCTTCACAKTTCAGCCACTGTTGCATTCGGTTCTGAACAAAACATTCAAAAAAGAGTTAGTAGCATTACTAACTTACCCAAAATGCATCCTTAAACTGTAAAGCCATTGTGATAACGCTTCAAAACGATCCCTGTTGGAGAAATCAACTTCTCTGTCACTGCTACAGCCACAGTGGTGCAGCAGACCTGGCCTCGACACGAGCGTAACGCATCAGGGCACATTCAGGAAACAAACCTTCATGCAGCAACTCTCGCTCGCTTAGTCACTTCATTTCAATAAGGAAGAGCTGAAACATGTCAGCAGCTGACACAATCTACTTCTCACGTGAAATGACAGCCAGCAAGAGATCATCAGTAACAGTTTAACCACTTGCTTAAATGTAATAAGAACCTCAAATTCTTTTTAATGGACTGGCAAATTAATCTGTAACAAAGTGTGTTTTGTGCATTTTTGCTTAAATGCCCTTCAACAGTATACACACACAAGGATGGCGCACGAACAGGAATTTCCTACTAAATTTTGCAATCCAACAGAAAACACTGCAATTTGTACTAATTTGGAAATGTTCTGAAGRCAGTTTGGCTTTAAAGGGACTCATTTTCATCGGCTTTTGTTGATGACTTACAAATACTGGAATGTGTACAAGTTGATGTAAATTACAAATTCTAAAGCAGCACAAAAAATAGACATTACTTTTGTTTATTTATTTGTTTTTTTTTTAGAAAAAAGAAACTATTCTACAAGAAACAAGAAACATTTGGCTATAATTCATCGTGTGACACATGAAGCTCTCTGCCATAGTCCGTCACTTCACTGTTCATGAAGGTTTCTTGGTTTTTTAAAACTTCGGCCAGTGAAATCTGTCCATCACCGTCGTAGTCCATTTCCTTGATGAGGTGAAGAGCCTGTTAACGACAAATCAGAGAACAGTAATTAGTAAGTATGTTGAAGAGAAAACTATGGGTAATGCTTCCAAACAATTACAGTTTAAARTAACTAAATGACAACTTACAATAAATAACTAAAATAAAACTAAAAACTAGTGAACCTAACAGACAAAGCAGTTCTTCTGTGTTCATTCTCTGAACTAACTGCATCTATAAAAGCTATTTGGTGTCAGAGATGTAACAATGAACTGTATGGTTAGGTGCAATATCATTATGATGTGTAAGAATAACAAGCTACAAAAGTTTTTATGTTTATTGCATTTTCATATGCAAGAAATTAAAGATTTGGGTTTATTTAGGTGGAAGTAACAGGACTGTCTTAAAACGCCCAGAATAACGACGCTTACAATAATAAGACTTAAAAGAATGATCCAAAGCACACACATAAATTAATACTAAAAATGCTGGAATCAGAATAAATATTGTGATTTAAGTTGAAAGAGGGATTTAAGAGGACCTGAATAGGTCCATGTAGTGATGACATCTCAGAAATTCTGATAAACTGCAGCAGTTTTGAGAAAGGAACCGTCTACATGTTTTTCTTATTATTGCAGAAGTTTCATAAGCAGATAAGAGGAAGTGAATAATCGAGGTTTTTTTCCTAATAAAGTTAAAGAAATGACTATAYTGCTGGATTTACAAAATGATGACTAGTCTCTCTGAGTGATTACTTAATAAAGACATACGAGCTGTTCTGTTTAGTTATGTTTAATTGTTGTTAGACACGATCATGAGTAAACAGTGCATAAGTCTTGCAATTCTAACGGCCTGATTTCTGCTCCCTTTTTACTTTATTTATTGATCATGTCAACAAAGACTTCAAACAACAAAAAGAACTGAACCTTACTTCCTCTCTTGCTGAACCGTAGCTGTTAGGAGCGACCCACCGCAGCTGCTCGTCTCGATTCAGTCTGCCATCCTTGTCTTGGTCATACAGTTCTTTAAACCGAATTGTTTCTTCAATCTCCCACTGCGATGGAGCTTCCCCTGATTTACAAACAAACAAAAAGGATCAAATAATGAAAAAGGTGAAAATACTAATATTATTATTATTTTTTTTTAATAACCTGTGGTCTTACCTTCGCCACGCACATCACCAATAAACTCACTTAAAGAGATGAATCCATCTTTATTGGTATCATATTCATTCAGCACGTCTTCAATGGCAAAGTCCTGAGAGGGGAAAAAATAAAAGTAAATCAAATAACGTTGATACAAAGCACGTGCTTATAATAGATGGAGGACTGCATTATCCTATCAGGTTTTGCAGGAGTGGGACGTAAACTCATCTCACGGCCATATGATCCACTTCAGATGGGTGCGTGAAGGCAAGAAACTCTGTTATGTTGAGGCCAGGTGAGCCATCCATGTTTGCGTAATCAAAGCGATGCTTCTCCTTTAAGTAGAGCTATCCRAAATATGAGTCCCTGTTAAAGTTCTGCTAAATTACAGGAGGGTACAAGGTAATGTGCATGTATAAAAATTGGCCTACTTTTCTTAAAGACTCTTGCTCTGGGTCATCCAGAACTCTGTTGTCATCAAAACTAATGAGCTGGCCGTGAGCAACAGAATTATACTCCTCCCATGTTACCACACCATCTTTGTTAATGTCAAACTCTGGGAACCGCTCCTTCGCATCTTCCAGAGCATACTTTCTGTAGACATGCTGAATCCAAAGAGTGATGTCCTCTGTGGATAAAAAAAAAAACACAGAACACTCTAAGATCATTTCCCCATTTTTTATGTGTTTCTTGCCTTAACCTGAAGTTACCTGCGCTTAGAAGACCGTCACCATTCCTATCAATCTTTTTAACAATTTCGATCATCTTCTTCTGCTGCTCTGCTGGACTGAGTTTCTTTATTGTATCAGTGTTCTAGAATAGCAAACAACAAGAAGGCTGAAAGGGGATCTGAAGATTGATACCAAGTCAATGAAGGACTGAAGAATCCAATAAATCCAATAAGAAACATGGCATAACCTCTTCGCCGAGCAGCACAGCCATGTCATGGTCAGGGTTGTGTTGCTGACCGATGTAATGATCTTCATGGAGATGTTTCTGAGAACTTTGCCCAACTCCAAACTGAACTATCAGCAGGACCAAGACCAAAATGAGCATCATCTGTTGAAAACGGATGAAAGGGTTTAGGAGAGTGAATTGAAAACCATACAGGGTGCACATATAAACTGTGAAGCTCAGTGCAACTGTGCTATCTGCTGGCCAACTACAGGAAGTTGCAAACAGTTTTACTCTAAACTGCTACGTTTAAAATATAAAACAACAGACACAAAAGGTTTTAAAAGGTAGTATACTCTTCAACTATTCTAGTTACAAACTAGCTAGAACCTGGTTTAGCTTTGAGCACAGAAAAGTATCATCAGCCCAAGGCAAGCCAAACTAAACAGGGTGAGATCAAATCGACTAAATAAATAAATAAATAAATAAATAAATAAATAAATAAATAAATAAATAAATAATGTTTCCACTACAATAAAATTTGCTAACAACCTTACCGCGAGGCATTAAAGCACTGCTGTGAAAAGTAAGGGCAATGGTGGCTCAAAGTTGTTTACTCCAGTCAAAGGAAGTACTTTCAGAATTGACCTTCAAAATAAAAGTTCGTTACAAATGGGACTGTGAAAACAAGAAGGCAACCGGTAAAAAGTAAAAAAAATAAAAAAATAAAATAATAAAATAAAAATAAAAATACTACACCGTCGGGAGTTTATCAGACAAACCCAAATGATGAATATAAATGCAATGATTTTAGTCATGTTTTATGTATAAACACCAAATTTACAGATGATAGAGCTTTTGTATTTTTTATATTTAAATAGTTTGTCAGTAGCAATACATTTGTTTTGTTTTGCTTTAGCTCAAACAAAGACGAGTCAATGACTCTTCCTACTTCAAATTAAATTGAATTAGATCCCCATTAGATCAAATTTATGAGCTGAATTACTATGAAAGGGGTTTGTGTCGCTTCAGTGCTTTTACTTTGAAGGTACACTAAATTTTCATGACTAACTTGACAGACGTTGAGAACTCAACCAAACTTCCCTAACTGTCCCGCCTTGTCTTTTAGTGGTTGCCATGGTAGACCAACCTGTACCACCCTTTGACCTGAATTATACAGTACATGATTGGATAGCGTGTACTCTTTTGCCAAGCTTCCCTCACTTCATTGGCTGATCTCCACGACAGTCAAATACTTAAATCTAACGAACTTCCGGCTTTGGTAGGTTGTACTCAGTGTCATGTATTTGTGTGACATGTATTTTTTTCCATCACTGCTGACTAGAACGTTGTCCGCAGACCTTTTATTCCTCACCTGCTGAGTGGTGAACTCAAGGCGAGTCGATGTCCAAAGACAATCGCCATGACGGACGGCGGCGCGGCGCTGGACAGCATCGTCTCGGCCCCAGAGTTAGCCAAGGTGGAGGAGACGGGAGGGAAAGGTCTGGTAGCAACAGCTCCGGTTCTTCTCACGGAGGAGGTAAAGGCAAGAGCGCATCCTCAGCGTCTTTGAAGGTATGTAAAATAATATGTTAGCTAACGGCGTAGCTAACGCCGTTATTCAATGTAGCCGTTCTGAATCAAGTTAGCTTAACGTTATTTTATGGTGCTGATTACAGCCACTCATGAGTTCACTGACATTTTGATGATTTGTTAGGCTAAGTAATCTTCATTTTTTGAGCATTAATTTGTCATAATCATCATTAAAATGACAATGTAACAATAAATAAAAGAACTCAAATTAAAATAGGAGTCAGGTCTGAATCCAAAATTAATGTGCTGTGATTGTTTGCTTTATTTTTATTTTTGCAGATTTCTAATTATTGTATTCAGTAAAGTTATGACAAGTCTGCCTTTTTAAACGTTGACTAGCAAATAAAATGCAAAAGATAAGAAATCCAACTTCAACTAGAACAAATTTCAGCATGATTTTTCAAGACAGATACTGAAACATAATTCATTTCAAAACAATATAGAAACAGATTAATTTGTTGTAAAAATATAAAAAAATAAAACGGGTATACTGACATATTCGTAAAATTTTATGTTTACCAAAACACATCACCCCCAATATTAAAAAAAGAACATTTTTGGTGCAAAGGAAGAAGCAAAACAAAATTGTAAAAAAAGAACTCCTCTTCAAAACAAAAACCATATTAGTAAATCATTACATTTGACAAAAGATGAAACAAACAGAAAAAAAAAAACCCAGCACGAAAAAAAAGTTGCTTGGTAAAAAAAAAAAGAGAAATATTTTTAGGAGAAAACAACAATAATAAAGATCACTGAACTTTTTAAAGTTTGTAGGTTTTAGAACACAATACACTTGTGATGAGTGTAAACACTAAAGTTGAACATTTATCACTTATCATAAACACTGTTTATCTCATATTTTAAATTACAATGTCCATCATTACTTTACATTAGCATTAGGGCTGCACAGTATCTCAAATTTATCTTTTCAATATTGGTGTGTGCAATACCAATGTAGCAAAGAACTATTATAAACCATTGGCTATTTGTAGTGCCATGCATTTATGTTCGGTTAGTGGGTTTMTTGCAGTTGATTCCATAATCACAATATTAATATCGCACATCAGAAGTCTATTTCTAATTTTTTGCAGCCCTATTATTTTGCAATGCATTCTGGGTTGATAAAGATATTGTTTGCGTATGCAAAACAATTACCTAATGTTAGATTTCTACAGGCCATCTGTAAAGATATTGATTCGTTGTTACACAGTGCTGATTTTGATTGTAGTTTTCAGTTACAGTAAAATCATCACAACTTTTCTGTAAAACAAAACAAACTAACATACCCCCTAAAGACTGGTATACAGGATGATTTGATTATTCAGTTTACATTCACACTCACTGTTAGTCTGAAAACACACACAAATGTTTTGTTGTAAAAAAGGCCTTCATAACGATGTCGCATCTTATGTGCTACTTTTGTTCCACAATTTAGTTTAACAGGTAGCTCTGCCTTCACATAAGCTTCTAGCAAAAGTAGCTCTGAGTAATGCAATGCAATGACATTGTCATCATAGTACTGCCACTCCTAGTATTATACAGCATTCACATGTACTTTACGAGAACCCTCCAGATTACTAGTCGCATCTTATTAACCACAACCAGCAACTAAATGTTTTTTTTAAATAAAGCTCATTGTTTATTTAACTTAAGCCATTCAAACATTTAAAACCTTAATCAAAGTTCAAATACAAAGTAAATGTAAACCGCTGACACGTCCCATTTGAACTCTTTGAACTAAAGTTAAAATGAATCCTTGCTGGGAACGGGATGCTGTTCCATAGGCTGTAGAAATCTTTCCCTTACTACCACAACCTCTTTTGTCCGGCTGCTGACACAGTTTGGAGCTCTTCCAGTTGCATTCAAAGTCAGCTGCTGCACAAACGCAGCACTTTTTTCCCCATGTTTGCCCTTTGACCTGTGATTTCCATCTCAATAAACATTTTTATAGTAATGCCTTCAGTGGTGTTTTTACAATCCTGCTTTCTAGTTATGTTCAAACTAACATCAAATTGATGTGATGTTTGTTTTGTTTTAGACTGTGATCTGTATTTTACTTAGTGCTAGGTGGTATGACCATGTGGTCTGAGTCCAGATTGACCCTGTTCCAGAGTGATGGGTGCATCGGGGTAAGAAAAGAGGCAGGTAAAGTGATGCATCCATCATGCATAGAGCCTACTGTACAAGCCTGGGGGGGCAGTGCTGTAATCTGAGGTTGCTGCAGTTGGTCAGGTCTAGGTTCAGCAACGGTATGTGCTCAAAGAATGAGTTCAGCTGACTACCTGAATATACTGAATGACCAGGTTGTTCCATCAATGGATTGTTTTCTTTCCTGACCATATTCCAAGATGAAATGCCAGGATCCAGGATTCGGGCTGGAATTGTCAAAGAGTGTTTCAGAGAGCATGAGACATCATTTTCACACATGGATTAGCTCCACAGAGTCCATTGAGAATCTTTGGGATGYGCTGGAGAAGGCTTTGTGATCACACTCTGTGGTCATACTCTGCCATCATCCATGCAAAAGCTTGGTGAAAAATTAATGCAACGCTGGATGGAAATAAATCTTGGAACATTGCAGAAGCTTATCGAAGCAATACCACAGGGAATGCAATGCAATYAAAGCTAAAGGTGGTCCAACAAAATATTAGTGTGTTTTGTCCATGCAGTGACTTGACTTTTTTCTTTTACTGTACCTCTGTCTGTGTCACGTTTTTCTCTCCTCTGTCTTGTCTTCCTTTYTTAGTTGTAGACATTAGTCGCACATTCTGGGCTTGCGTCACATTAGCAGTGAGGGGAGCCAGGTACAGTCGTGAATGAGGTGGATTGAGCAACGATCATTATCAGGCAAATTTACTTCATGCATGGAGTCTCTTTGCACTACAGAGGTGCATTCTGCATTCAGAGATGGTGAAAACATGAGTTTTTTTTTTCTGTTTTTTTTTGTCAGCTGTTGTAAGCGATGACAATGCCACCCACCGCCAGTTATTGAGAAGGCTGCTCATGACTCTGTGTGCTGCTAGCTCCTGCGTGCACGTTCAGCAGTGCCGCACGGAAAATCGTCCCCCAAGAAACAGTTTAATGGCGAGTGTGATGTAACGTTGCGAATGTTCGAAAAAGTCATATCATAATAAAAATAAAAAGTGACTTRATACAAACTGAATTACCCAACTATTTGGACATTTTCTTGTCTTGATGTGTGTTGTACCACCATATCCATCAGGTCTAGAGCATCACTCTGTGGTTAGTGCGTTATGTAAGTGCACCCTGTCTTTTTGTCGCCCTGAAGCTTCGCTCTCACCACTGGCAGCACAGTATGGGGTGGGGGGTGGGGGTGCAGAGGGGCAGTCCCGCTTGCCTGCACATGACTGTGCAGTATTGTGGCAGAAGGAGAGTGAGAGATGAGAAACCGAGGGAGCGGGGGGGCTCTGATGCAGATCTGTGAGAGAAGAGAAGAGAAGCGGAGCTGTAAATATCAGAAGCTGCACACACAGTGGCGAGCAGGAGACGGGCAGCCAGTCAGGCCTAAGAAGTGGCTGCGAACTCAGCAGAGTGCCGAGAGCTCAGGCAAGATTACAGAACCAGCTCTAGGACAGAGTAATCGGTGAGAGGGGAGCACTGATGGACTATTGAGAGCTTGTTCCTCTCAGTTGCTTTTGACAGAGGAGTTGGCACAGCTGGCCAAGTTGCTATAGCAGTGTGGATTTCACAGTGGGCGTCTATTTTGGTCCTGCTGTCAGACAACGATGTCACCTTGGACATGTGGCGGTGCCGGTTAGAGGGAAACAGGTTGCATGAAGTGGGCTGCTAAGTATGTCAGAAGTGGATAAAGACGAGGAACCTGCTTGCAGGCTGTACTTCTACTCTGTATGTATGATCGAATATTTCGATTCCATCCTTTTCCTTATGTGCTAGTGCGCTCTAACTGTCTTGATATTTATGTCTGGTTGTAGATCTTGCCGGGAGGGGAAGCTGACACTTGCCCCTTACTCAGCGCAGTCTTTGAAAAAAATAAAAAATAAAAATGAAACCAGCCCTGTAGTGTATGGGGATGGACTGCCTGGCTAAGTGGGATATGGGATATTAGGCTTTACTGTATTCCTGCATCACAGGAAACAGCTTGTTGGCAGCTTATTGAGTACTTATTAGGTGGATAATACTGTTGTAAGGCTTTGTTTTTTGCTGTACAGGTGTCTCAGCTGTGAGTAGGCCAGGTAATGTCAAACACTTTCATCTAATGGTTCAGTTCAGAAAATGCAGAATAAACAATCAGTCTTTAGATGCTATTTCAATGATCTTCTGTTTGATTTTCTTTTATCTCTTTGTAGTGTCCTTTTTTTTCTCCAGTTGCCAGAATAAAGCCCAGGCCACGCCACTTGACATGTAAAGAATTTTGCTCAGCAAAAGTAGGTCATCTGGGTATTTCCCTTAGGGACATTAAATAGTAAGAGACAAACACGCATGCTGTTTCTGCATGTGTAACTCCTAATGAGCTATTTTATTCTGTTAGTCTTGAATTAAAAAGGTTTTCTTTACAKAACATCATGCGTAGTTAGCCCATGGATCCTCACAGAAATGAAAAGGACTGAAAATACGTGTCATCGTTTTAAACACAAAGTGAAATTGAATAATAATTTTTGGCCTCGCCTGAACAGTGGTTGCACTGAGAGACGGCCAAGAAGAGAAATGGTTTGTTCCATGACTCATTTGCTTTTAAGGAAAGCACAGCCGCTTGACTTCCGTTTGTCTCCGGCAGCAAAACATTTTAGGGCTGAAAACGACATTTTTATTTAAAATGGGTAAGCTTGGTCTGGATTCTGTTTAGTCTGTATAAACAGTTGGTGTTTTATGTAATAAAATGTTGTTTTTTTGTGAGTTGGTGATGCAGGAATAAGTCATTTTGCTGTTTATGTTTAATGATAAAGAATGCAGCYTGAGTATTTAATTTGGCTCACAGTATCCACTGCACCAGGGATTAAAGTCAAGTTCACTGATGCATATGCAATGTGTAGGTCAACCATGATGTGCAGGCTGGGTGCAGAGTGGCTTTAAAGCTTCTGCCTCCAGCTGTTTCTTGTCACAGTCTGTGCCAGCAGACCTCTCCCGTACACACTGAACATGCAACATTGTTTTGGCTTCGGTTTTGTAAAGCAACCACACAGCGTGGATGGAGTGGATATGGTTACAGAGTTTCGCAGTTAGACAGGAGCTGGTTTCCAGCTAGTTCCAATCTCAAAATCCAAAATATTTCAGGTGTATACTTCTTGTGGCTCTTTTCACTGACATGCCAGAAATGGTGTCGGGGTTTCTCAGATTGTTTGCCGACCTAATCCTAAATGCAATATTCACATTTATTTGAAGACGTATGACTTTATAATAGCTATTGAAACAAATAATATTAGTTAAAATTATTAGGTTGCAGAATGTTTTATCCCTATTCCTATAAATTCCAAAAACAATCAGTCTGACTTCCTGTTTGATGCACATAAGAATGAAATAAAGTGCTTTTACATTTTGTGAGAGYCATTGTTTGGATGATTAGCCCACTGTACAATACTGTACATATTTGACCCACTGCATAAAATCTGTGTGCAAGCTGTTAAAATAGATGTAACCATAGCAGCAGTACTTGTTTCAGGTCGGGCTGCTGGTTAAATATGTTCATTGGTTCTGCTTCTAATAAGTTTGTTATAATTCTGTTATTGTTAAAAAATAGATTATGTCATTAGTGAGGTTGGGCGTTTATAGGCTTAAAATTTGTATTAGATTAATTGTGACATTTAGCTGATAATAAATTAATAAGAGGATTAATGGATGACAGTTGCATGTAGATGACGTGGCCTTCGTCTGGCTTTCCTCAAACTCTGGTTTATGCCGGTGTTTCAGCTAGGGTTAGCGTKAGCTGCTCTACACCACCTTCCACCATTGGGTTCACGTGCGCACCTAATGGTGATAGTGTGTCGCACACAAAATTATGTCATCGTATGGCACTATTTGCAGTAATTAAAAAATGGCAAATAGTATTGCTGACAGTTTTTACTGACAATTATTTATTTATTAACCTTTCTTTTAATCAGGCAAATCCCATTGAGATCACAGAGCTCTTTTGCGAGGGATGCCTGGGCCTGAAGGCARTCTACATGTTTTTGGTCTGAGGGGATTAATTATACAATTTTCCCTGCCCTTTTAATTAGAACACAAAATATGTTGTGAAAACATAGACGTCAAATGTGTTTTTATTCATCAGAAACTTAATCACAGAAATCAGTGGCTGTTTATGAACAGTGTAATCRGGTATCAGGTCAGATTATTTGTGTTAACAGAGGAATTTTTTTTTCTCTGTACTGGCAACTGTTTTTAATTTAATTTTGTTTGTTTTCTTTGTCAAGTACCAGTACAAGTTTCCAATAGGTGAAAATCTTAAAATCTGTGGTCACAACATATTATATATATATTTTTTGTTTAGTGAGAGGGCTGTCTTTAACAAACTTTAAGCAATAGATGGGAAAATTATTCAGTCTGCCATGTTCTCATGTATTACATGGTTTGCTGACATGTGTTGTATACATTTGATACAAAGGTTTAGTTTTTATTTGTTTATAAAACTAAATAGATCCTTTTCATTACAGAGATGAAACTAATTGGTGTTTGACCAAATTTTTAAGTTTAGTAAACTGTTAAATTATCAGCCTTGTTAGCAGTTAACATTAATATAACTTAAGAACCCTTCCAATTTCTAAATTTTTAAAAACTTTTTATTTTGTGAACCTTTTTTAAAAGCTTTACTACATATTGAAGAATGTATGCAATGGACCTGTTGGGAACTAAAATTTACATCCATTGTCTATTTCAGGCCTCTTTTCAGCGCTCCAACAGTCATGACAAAGTGCGAAAAATAGTAGCTGAAGAAGGCCGTGCAGCTCGAAACCTAATTGCCTGGAGTGTTCCTCTTGAAAACAAAGAGGAGGAAGGTTAGTAGCTGCATGCAAAGAAACTTCTCATTCATGCTGTTATTGTTATGATGCAGGCTTCTCAGTGTAAATTTAATTTACATGTAATTCATCATGGCACTCTGCCACGGCAAAATAAAAGCCGCCACACCTTCAGAATGAAGTTTTYTTTTTWMWTSA